CTCCCTCTCTCTCTCTCTCTCTCTCTCTCTCTCTCACACACACACACACACACACACACACGGCTGACTCCAGCAGCTTTCTTCGTCTCCCCATCATCCTCGCTTCCTCCCACCACCCTGGAAGGCTCTCCCTCGGATTTCTGGACAAGACGGTCCCACGCCGCCCATCTTTCCCGTTCCTTTATGCTGCCGCACGCCTGGCCAAGGGATCCCCGTGGATGAATGGGAGGGTGCACGCGCGCCCCTTTGTACAGCGCTGGGTGTGCAGCCGGGCTGACACTGAGACAAAACACAGCCCGCCTCGCCTGCACGGAGGATCTCTCGGCTCTCTGCGGCTGCAAGGGGCGAAACCGAGCCATTTCTTCACCACAGCCAGAACGCAAGGCCCACCGGGATGATGGGGTCTGACACACCGCCCATGCCGCCAGACCTCATGAGGCTTATTCATTCAGTCCTCTCCAGGGACAGTCTCCTGAACAACCCATTTTATCAGCACTGGGTGCATCTTCCCCAGATCTTTCTCCGTCTCGCTGTCATTTCACACACACCCCTTTCCACCTCCCTGGAAACCATCACAAATAAAGAAAGGAAGAGGGCAAATCCAGCCTTTAATTCCTCTGAGAACCAGCTGCCTCTTCCACAGCGACTAAATTCTGAAAAATCAAGGCTCCACGATCCTTCTCGGAAGGGTCGGCCTGCAAGACGGCGCCCGCTGCCTGCCCCTCCGCGACCGCCTCGGAGAGGCATCCCTGGCCGGGCGGCTGCATCCTTCCAGCGGGAGCGCTGCGCGGCCGAGCCCTGCGCGACTGCAGTACGCGAGCCGCCAGGAGCGGGCGTGGAGGGGCGCGCGCGTGGGATGCGCGCAGGTCTTGCACCCATCCAGCCACGTCTGCGAGCTCGCCGCCTCGCCTGCATTGGGAAGGGCGAGGCACCCTGCAATTCGCCCTCGCCCGCCCAAGCGCACGCCCAACCGGCGGCGGGGATGAGGGACGGCTCGGGCGCCGCGCGGCTCCAAAGCCCAGCGGCGAGCCGGGGCTCCCCGGGCAGCGTTTTCCGCCGCCCGACTCGGCCGGAGCGCGCGCAAGGGGGAGACACGGGCAGCCCCGTTCCGACGGAGCGCCGCGCCCGCCCCAGCGAAGCTGGCGCCCGGATTGCTCGGGCTGAGCGCCGGTGGGGAGGCTGCAGGCGGGGCGCACCCTCGTCCTCCCCGCCGGCGGGGCGCGCCCGAGCGAGCGCACGGAGCGAGCCGGCTGGGGGACCCGGACCGACGCCGGGGGCTCACCGGAACCGGGGCGAGTCCTTGATGCACTCCTCGAATTCCACGGTCATCTTGGCACGCTGCTGGGGAGCCGGGCGCGGGGAAAGGCCGGGGCGCGGGGGGCCAGCCGGGCGGCGGGAGAGCGAGCGAGCGAGCAGCTACAGCCCGGGCAGGCGCATCGTCTCCTGCGGCGGTGCTCGGCACAAGCCCGCAGAGGCGGCCGAGGGAGGGACCCCCGCGCCGCGCAGCCCGCCCGCCCGCCCGCCCGCGCGATCTCTGCCGCCGCCGCCGCCGCCGCGCTCGCGCTCGCGCTCCCTCCCGTGGCTGGCGGGCCGCGGGCACGCGGGAGGGAGGAGGAGGAGGAGGAGGAGGAGGAGGGAGGGAGGCGCGCCGCGCCCGCCCGCCCGCCCGAGCTGTCACCCACCGGCGGCCGGCCCAGGGAGCATCGGCCAATTCCGCGGCCCCGCCTCGGCGCGCCCCGGGCCTCAGCCCGGAGTCACTCCGGGGTAGGAGCGGCGGACGCCTCTCCCGGCCGCCTGGCCTTCCCGGAATGACAGGCCCGACCCAACGCTGCCGTGCGGGCCCCCCGGGGTCCCTGCCGCGTCTCGCTTCCCCCCAGCAACCCGGAGAGGTAGTCCGGGCGACGGTGCGGGAGCAGAGCCTGCGCCGCCGGCTGCGAGGAGCCCGAGCCCCCAACCGCCGCCAAGGCTTCCTCACGACAACCCCCCGAGGCAGGCCGGGCTGGCACAGAGTGCTCGGCCTCTGGCACTCTGCAGTAGGATCTGAATTCACCGCCCTCACAACAGCCTTCCACGGTAGGACGCGGGCCCAAGCCGGGCCTCGCACTGACTGCACTCAGTTGACCTGCCTGCAGAGGGGCAGCATGGCGTAATGGTTAGCAAACAGGGCCAAGCCTGGGCGGATCACAGTTCATGTGGCCCTGCGCCCTCCCTGCAGCTTCTGGGGGAGCTCATGCCAGTCTTTGGGCCACCTCACAGGGTTGTTGAGAGGATCAAACACGTGCCAAAAAAACCCACAAAAACCAATACACACTGCCTTGCACTCTTTGGAAGGAACACCAAGACAAACAGATTATAAGCTAAGGCAAATAAACAACACGTCCCTGGGACTACCACCTCCATCAGCCCCACCAGCTGGTCAAGGAGGTCATGTGCAAAGAAAGGGGGGCAATCAGGGTTACCAGCTCTTGGGGTGGGGGGACCCCACACATCAGTCCGAGGAGCAGCAACAGCAAGGCATTTGCTCCTTCCTTCATTTATAGGAACTGCAAATGGGAGAATTAGCCCCTGAGCATTGCTCTTTTTTCTTCCTCTCCCCTCCCAGTTCCTTCTTCCTTTTATGCTAGTCTTCTAAGTGGACTATCATATTATTAATCTGCATAAGCTGCTCTGGGAGCCAGCGGCAAAGAAGCAATACCAGATGGGGAGGAATAAAGAGTGAGGGTAACACCACTATAACAAAATGAATGAAAAAAACCAACTTTCTACTCAGCATCTGAAACTCCACAAACTTTTCATTTGGCAGAAATAGAAAGAGCAATTTGCATACCACACTGAAGAAGTAAATTAAACAAACCTGCAGTAAAGTCCTGGAGAGGACTACAAATGCAGTATAATATTAACAAACAATAATATGATATTATAATATGGATAGTTTCAAATCACCTCAAATATGGCCTACCCTAGCTGGGCCTTCTCCTGGACTACAGGTCCCATCAGCTGCAGCTATAAAGGCCATTGGTCAGGTATGACCGAAAATACAATCCTACATATCCAGAGGGAGCCAAGTTGGAGGAAAAACAGCATTTTCCAGCATTTCACAGGCAAAAGGAGCAGGGCTGCAGCCCTCCATTTTAGGGAATTGGGGTGTTGGGAGGGAGCATGGAGGTCATCCAGTCCACCCCCACTGTGCTTAGCGCAGGATGCGACCACAGCTTCCCCTACAGCAACACCCCCAGGGAGAGAGAGCCCAATGCAACTGAATGGCTCTTACCATTAGAGCGCTTCTTCTAACACTTAGCCAACATCCATCTCCCAGAGATGTCCACCTACTCTCTCTAGGGCCACCTCCTACAAAGGGGCACCCCAGCCCCACCGCTTACCTAACAGCCCTTCAGGAATTTGAAGACAGCTCTCCTGCCTTCTCTTCCTCTCCCCATCTCCCTAAAAGCTCAATCATTCTACATATAACACTCCGCACATGCCACCCCCTGCCCTGGACTCACTCCAGTTGCTCACCCCACTTTTTATGGCACACAGAACTGGAGACAGCCGTCTAGATGGGGCCTGCCCAGTGCCAGGAGGAGCACCAAGAGAAGGTATGATTGGGCACCTGCAGGGGGTCCACATCCCAGCAGGGGCCCAGTGACCAAGGGAACAGCTTCTTTCTTTCTTTCTTTCTTTCTTTCTTTCTTTCTTTCTTTCTTTC